CTTGAGCAGGGAGGCCCAGACATCTCTTTCCACAGCCACCTCTTCCAGCTCTTCTGGGAGGACTCCAAGGTGTTCCCAGGCCAACCCAGAGACATAATCTCTCCAGCGTGTCCTGGGTCGTCCCCGTGGTCTCCTTCCAGTCGGACATGCCTGAAGCACCTCCCTAGGGAGGCGCACAGGGAGCATCCTTACCAGATGCCCGAACCACCTCAACTGGCTTCTTTCGATGTGGAGGAGCAACGGTTCTACTTCGAGTCTCTCCCGGATAACTGGACCTCTCACCCTATCGTTCCAAGATCCAGCTTTGGCAAGCCAGGGTCAGAGCGCCAAGGCCACTGCTGGAGTCATGCACCCGACTCGTATCGCTCCTCATGCAGGTGGTGGGTCCACAGGAAGTAAAACCCATGTTGCTCATTCAGGCTGAGCCCAACTGGGCCCATGAGTAGAGATTCAGTCACCAGGCGGTCGCCGACGAGCCCCTCTCCCAGGCCTGGCTCTGGATTGGGGCCCGGTAACCCACATCCGGGCAAGGGACACCGAGCTCCTTGCAGGTTTCAGTCCATATGAGTTTTTGGAATAACTCTTTGTCTGGCCTGTCACCTAGGACCAATCTGCCTTGGGAGACATGGGGCAATTAAAATTGCCCCCGACAGCATAGCTCCTAGGATCACTCAGGCACATAAATTCCTCCACCAAGATAAGGTGGCAATTCAAGGAGGAGCAGGAATTTAAAATGTCTTGGAAAATAATTGAAAACAAATTTTGGATGAGTGACATGATAGCAGCTTTGAGCGGACAGATTACGCTCTTTTATCTTTTCACTAAAATGACTTGTTTTCTCTGGCGAGTTCTGACAAACTGATAATGTAATTGCTAGGACAAAAACTTTTTTTTTTTTAAAAAGGCAATAATTTCCAAATTTATCTTAGCCCAAATGTTTTTCTCAGTTTCCATCATTTCCAGATTAGTTTCCTTTGAAACTTCTTTTTTATATATATTATTATTATTATCCAAAATCAAAATACAGCAATTCTAGCACAATGTCCAATTCTATTTTCCAACAGATGTTTGTCACATCATAAGGGTCTTTTCTACAAAATAACACCACAAAATAATGAAAATAAAGAAATATAACAACTGCAGATAGATTTTGTTGACTGATTATTTTGTACACCAATGAGCCACTTAAAATAAATGGTACCTGATACGCAACTGATTACCAAGTTGGAAGATGAAGGTGCAGTTGTCAATATGTTGTTTAATGATCATTAAGTATAACATACAAGTATGATTTCTAAAAACTTACTGTCATCGACTATAGAAAAAAAAATTCAGCCAACCTCTAGTAACAATTACCCAAAGCTTGAACATTTAAAATGAAGGTTACTCTTTGTACCACTGAACCAGCATCATCCTCTGCAACAGCCTCAGTCTGATGATAGTGATTGGATGTCTGATAGCTGGCCGTCCTCACAACAGACAACAGAATGACCTGAAGTCGAGCGTAAAAGCCCAACAAGAGACGAACTGATAAAAAAATGTATATAAATACTAATGTACAATAAACATAAGATTAAAAATAAACTGCTTAATTTTTCTTTATTCATTCTGTTCTAAAATAATGGGTGCGCTTTGGCGCTCATCAATGTGCACCGATTTGGTTGCAATATCTGAGATTAGTGATAACAACACAATAACCTGCCCAAACACAGAAAGAAACTTACTTAACTCAAATGACAAGTTGTTGTTAAAAGAGTGTTTTTAGAATTAAACTTGTTCACTTGATTAAAAGTGATTTCCAAACTGACCTAACAGGAAAATTATTACCAAAATACAAAACAGCTGTTTCTCTTTGGCATAGTCCCCATCCTGTCCTTTAATTTTTATTATTGTCTGTCCTTCATGTCAACTTGTTTCTCGTTATTTTCCAGACAAATATGAGCGTTACCACATTGTGTGAGCTGTTACAGTGGGTGGATACTAAACACGGGTGCACAAACAGGAGATAAGACCACTGGCACTGGGAACAAAACTTTCAGATAAAGTTGTGAGAAAGGATTTAAATTACATTACTGCTAACAAAAATACTATACCAAATAACTTTTCATAAGAGACAACAACAACATAGTAATGACTCTATTAATAGGCCTTCGAGTGGGTCGAATTTAGTGTGAGGTCTGAGAAAATCCTTGGAACAGCAGGCACCAGTGCTGAAACTGTAAATAGAGAACCACGGGTAATGTGAGCTTCTTTCTTAATCTTACCTATTAACATCAGCTAAATTTAAACTCAAGTTTTTATAGAACATTATGTGACTATCTAAACAGTTGTGCTTCTTTCAAACTGTGTTTAAAATCATGGAAAAGCTGTGTGGTTTCAGCTAACTTAATCACAATGAGGAAATTATTCACAAATTATTTCAACGTGTTCTTGTCCGAGTAATTTATCGAGCAATACGTCCTAACACTGCATTTGCTTTATCTACTTCATAAACTTTTTTTTACTAACATATCTGACTTAGTTTCTTTGCTGGAAGAACAAAAATGAAAATAAATTTGCATTTTGGGACTCTTTATACTGTTATTATACGTAGTTTAGAATTGACAGCTTCCACGCTTGAAAAGAAATCCAAGAAAACGCTGACAGTTGTGATGTTTTGTGATGATAAGATTCATAAAAGTGCTCCTTAACGTTGAGTATTTACTTAAAAGATTAAAAAGTGTATTTTGAATATGATTCATTTAACTTTTTAATAAATAATATATATATAAACTTGGCACAAAAAGTAAGGAAATTTGTGTTTGGTCAATAATTTATTTTTTGTAACAATGATTCTTGGCAATAAATCTTAAAACCGTTGTAAAGACAGTTTATTTCACCTTATGGTGCCACATTTGTTAGGAAAATTGCACTCGTTAAACATAAAACTTGCCGATTCTTTGTCAAAGCCAAACCGTTGATTCTGCCTGTTTTTTTTAGAGCTTCTGGTACCACAGGTGCTGATTATCAGAAGCTTGATTGGTAAACGTCTCTACACAGTCTGGCACCAAACTATATCCTCAAGGATGAAATGACCCCATAAAGCAGGGATTCTCAGAGAAGAAACTCCAGAATTTGGCAAACGGCCCAAGGTTTATTACCAAGAAGCATTGTTACAAAATAATCAACTAAACACAAATGTTCTTACTTTTGTACTAACTTTATGTAAAACTATGAAAAACACACAATGTAACCATACAGTATATGACATTCCACACAAGTAATGAAAGCATTTTGCTTTATGCATCCAGATTGTCTGAACTGATTTCTTGTGTAAATACGGCAATATGAATAAAAGTTGGGTTTTTTTTGCCATTTTATCAGTTATAGTAGAAGTATGTTGCTGCTCCTGTCATTGAACTACAGATCCATTAAAAAAATTAGAATACTGTGGAAAAAGTTCAATTTTCTTTTGTCAATCATTTCAGAAATTGAAACTCATATACAACATAGTCATTATGAATAGAATGAAATATTCCAAGTCTTTACTTCTTGCCATTTTGATGATTATAGCTTACACATACTAAGAAAAACAAAATTCAGTGTCTAAGAAAATGAGAATATTGTTAAAAGGTTCAATAATGTGAATTCCTGGTGTCACAACCTAATCAGCTGATTAAGGATGATGCTTAAGCTGAGGAGGAAAAGACTTGGACTGTTGCTCAGTGGTCCAATGTCCTCTTTTCAGATTAAAGTAAATTGTGCATGACATTTGGAAATCGAAGTCCCAGAGTCTGGAGGAAGAGTGGAGAGGCCCAGAAATCACGTTGGTTGAGATCCAGTGTGAAGTTCGTTTTCAGTCAGTGATGGTTTGGGGCTGGTGTTGGTCTACTGTGTTTTCTGAAGTCCACAGTCAATGCAGCATCTTATCAGGACATTTTAGAGCACTTCATGCTTCCTTCTGCTGATGAGCTTTATGGAGATGCTGATTTCATTTTCCAGCAGGACTTGACTCCTGCCCACACTGACAAAGGTACCAAAAGCCGGCCAAGGAATATTCTAATTTTCTGAAACAATGAATTTTGTTTTTTCTTTTCTTTTTTTCTATACCAAAATCATCAAAATTACAAGAAATAAAGGCTTGTTTTTTGGCTCAGCACTGAGTCCTTACATCACTTCCTGTAGCTGTTTTGGTCATAATATAGCTCATGTAAAAACCAAATGTTAGATTTACTCCTCTAATAACTTTTTCAGAAATTAATCTAAATGTAATTATTATGACCTTCAGCTGGAAACTAATGCACTTTAATTAGACTGTCAATAGAGGTCAGGAGACATTCACTTTGCTGATTAGTTGTATTTTTTGCTGATACTATCAAACAAGGCTCTTTCTAGTGGTTTTCATTGCATGCCATTGGTACACATAAATAAAGTGGGAGCGTATGCATGTTTTAATTCATGACTGGTCTAACAGGAAATTACAAAAAGAAGAGACTCGTGACTGCATTTTCACAGTCAGAAGCCCAAGCAGGATATGGAGGAGTGAAAAACAACGTGAAGTGAGAAGCACAGGGGTTAAGTGAAAGTAAATATTCCCATGTACGTGTCGCAGCTCACCTGTAGGCAAGAGTCATGCACTCAAAGAGTTTGGTGAGGGAAGCGTCTATAGAGATGTGCGACGTGCTCGCTTTTCCGAAGTGATACGTCTGACAGGTCTGTTTGTTGACGGTGTCAAAGTCGTAGCCCTTCTTCGGGGGGTGCTCGCAGTGCGGCGACGACACCATGAAGTGTCCACTGTGGATGATCTGAGGCTCCAGTCCGTCCGCCTTCCTCAGCCCCATTATCATGTGAGTCTCCTCCGCGTCCGAGTCTTCATCCTGCTCCTGCTTTATGCCAGCCGCCGGACGCCGGTAAGTCTGCCGCGGCTGAGACGTCTCCCTGGTAGCCATATCGGCAACTTTCAGAACAAACAGCTAACGTTAGCCAACTGACCCTTTCATGAGGCCTGCCCGAGAAGGCACCGCGTTTGAGTCCGGTTGTTAAAGTTGGACAACTTTGTGCCATATAGCCAGAGTTCTCACGTCACTCATGTTAAAGTTTGCCTCTGGCCATTAGCGGCCGAAGTTAAAATGTTATCTTGTCAGATAGCTGACGTAGCTACAAAGCAGCTGACAAAAAAGCTACTCCTTTTTCTGTAGCCGGAAGTTCCTGTGCTACGACGTCTCTGATTGGTCAGAGTCAGAGCCCCGCCTACTTAAGGCGGTACAGACACTTCAGATTTTGCCTACCAGTTTATTCAGTTTACTGCTCCGCACTGGAATATGGTTTGTAGATGGACAGGGAGAAGGTCTGGTCTCTACTGGACAGATATCTGGTTACAACTAAAATTATAGACATTTCTCATGAAATCATCCACAATATCTATCCAGCCAAGACATTTATTAAAAATAAATTCAAGAAAGATACTGATATTAACTGTAGCTTCTGTTATTTGTGAATGTATTTTGTCTTATTGTGGGAGAATGTGTTGTTTGGCCTCTTTGGAAACCGTACACACACAAAACAATTCTGACTACCTCATAAATCTTCTGATATTAATGTCAAAATATCAGATGTCAGAGAGTTTCTTTATTTGTTATGAGCACCACATGTGGTGGAAGGAAATTGTGTACACAGGGTCAGAAAAACAGTAATAAGATCTAAGATATGAACTAAGAAAAACGTTAACTAAAAATACGCTAAACACTAGTAGTACAAAAACAATATGTCAAGAGCAGCACAAACAGGATATCATATTATCCATCCATCCATCCATTATCTTTTACCCGCTTTTTCCATTTTGGGTCACGGGGGTCGCTGGTGCCCATGTCCAGCAATCATTGGGCGAGGGGCGAAGTACACCCTGGACAGGTCGCAAGTCCATCATAGGGACACAGAGACAAACAACCATTCATGCTTTCACTCACACCTAGGGACAGTTTAGAGTTACCAGTCAGCATAACATGCATGTTTTTGGTCTGTGGGAGGAAACCAGAGTACTCAGAGAAAACCCACACATGCATGAAGAGAACATGCAAACTCCACCCAGGAAGGCCCCCGGACCGGGATTTGAACCGGCAACCTTCTCGCTGAGAGGCAGCAGCTCTACCAATTGTGCCACCGTGCTGCTGATATCATATTAGCTGTAGTAAATACTCTGGAATGAAACCATGCTTTACTGCTTTTCATAATGATGTCTAAGAATATATTCAGACAGTTAAAACCTCTGATAAAAAAGACACTTAAAACCACTGAGAAATGTACTGCCTTGTGTGTTTTTTATCCATAAGCCCCCAGTATTTCCTTCTCTTTCTGTTCCTAGTGCAGATGTTTCTTGATCTGTTTATTACTAAGTAGTATGTTTTGATATATCGTTCTGAAATACTCTCTCTGTAATGTGAACTATTCTAGTTTTAAGAGAAAAAAGACCCTTCAGTTTTTACTATAAGACAACCTAATACTTCTGTGAAAGTACTATTTGTTTAGACATGTGTGCTTGTGTAATATTTTACAGTTATAACTTTGTTAAAAGCCTAACCAGGGACTGACTCTACAAAGTTTGTGTAGATGCAGCGGAACAGTTACATATAACATGTACTACCCTGAATAAATAAACCTGATTAAATTGATTTTAACAAATGATGTGGATATAAAATGATAACATATTAAAAAATAAGCTATGTAAATAGGAGAAAAAAAATTGCTGCTCATATTAGCAAGAAGGGTTAACAAAAAACATTGACAGAAATTATGTATTAACCTTTCAGCAGATTGCAAAATTTAGGCCACTATAATCAGCACAGATTACATGACAAAAATGTTACGGGATGTGAAATTTAACATTTGCATATTTAAAATGTGAAATAAATTAACAAAAGTATCTACAAAAATGTGTATAGATTTGTTACGCCATGTTTTATATAAAAAAAATTAAAAAAGAGGCTGAATATTTTGAAAAAGCACTTAAGTTGTGGTTTCAGACACAAACTTTGCTATGAGGCCTTTAATATCAGCATTAAAACCATACACAAAAAATAATAAACCATTCTTACAGAATACACACAAGATACTTGTGATGTCTCAGGACTGGTTTTAAAGGCAACTTTATTCCAACTGTAGCTAATGTCATGTCTAAAAAAATGTATTTTATTTGCATTTCTAATATTTTGATTTGTAAGTTTTTCTTAATATTATTTCATATTTGAAACTGAAAAACAAAACGCAAGCTGTTGTAGCTCTCCAAAGGCAAATTTGTCCTCAACACATGCTCTTCTGGACCAGCTGGTTTTATTACACTGGAGGGGAGGACCAGGTCGTCTGTTCCACTGGGATTAGGAAGCTCAAAATGTGACCTCTAAATGTCTCCACAGTCATGGACTGCACTCATCTAGCATCTTGATGCTTCACCTAACAGTTTGTTCTATGGTGATTAAGTGAATTTTATGGTTGTGACTTTTTTTCCATGTGCTGTATGATTTGTGATGCTTATAAAGTGCTTGTTCTTCATCCTCTTTTTCCTTGAGGTCTAAAAATTTGCAACATACTCTGCCACCTCCTCCTCTGTCATGTGTTCATATCAGTCAGATCAGAATCATACAGAACCAGATGTGCTATGCTGATAGTGAAAATAGAACAGCTGTAAACACACACACACACACAACACTTACCCATAACGTACTTTGAACCTACAGATGTTCTATCAGGTTCTGTCTCAAAAGAATCAAAATAAGCTTTATTATCATTGTACCAGGATACAGTGAGATTATGTTCGTGCAGTCGTCCGAAAGATGAACGGAGTGCACGTAGCTGCTGCTACAAGAGCGTGGCCTCTTGTCCTTTATCAGAATACTTTTTAGATAGAAAAACGTAAAAGGCCATGAGGATGTGGTATTACAAAAAAGATCTCTTCACATCTTGTCCTGTCAGGACATGATTTGAGACATCAAAAAACTCTACCAGCAACCACATTTATAAACACAATAGATATGCATTTGATGTCAAGATGTTGAGATTTGTCCATGACGTGGGGGGTCCTGTACTATCACTTTTCCAAGGACATGAAAAGCATGGACAAGCTCATTGTTGGAGATGCCAAAAGCTGGACTGCGGTTTATTATTATTTATTATTTTATATACAGCTTCATAAACTCCTCCAGAGCGAGTTCAGTCACATATTTTTCGGTTTCAGCATATTTGCTGAACTTGAATTAAATTTGCATGTTTTTCATCTGCTAAAATTAATGCACAGAACTGTTAAAAAAGTTCAAATAAGTGGGAAAGTGGCCCATAGCTTTCATGAGAAAGGGAATTTCACACATCGTAGATTTGTTTCTTTTTTGTGTTAGAGCCTTGATTGTGTAATTGGCAGTAGTAGAAAAAGTCTTCCATCTCCTGAAAATGAAAATTGCTCAAAACGACAAAAATTGACATAGTAAATTATATCCATGACCAGAAGATGATTAAAATTGATCAAAGTAGGTAAAAATATCTTCCTGTGAGGAGTAGACAGAGTCAGCCTTAGAGAAAGAGAGTTCAGACTGTCTGGAAGGACTCAGAATAAAGTTACTGCTCCTCCACATTGAACAGAAGTGATTCAGGCATCTGACCTGAATGCCCCCTGACCACTTCCCTTAGAGGTTTTTCCAGGCATATCCTGCTGGGAGGACAGACCCTGGGATGATCCTGCCATCTTCTGATAAGAGGAAGAAAACTGATAAATGTGTCCCCAATAGAAGAATAGATTTTAAATGCTAAATTTTACACTTCTACTCAAAAGATATCCAGTGAATAAATTCCTTGTGGTCACACAAAATTCCATATCTCACAATGTTAAGTTCATTAGTAACATGTTTTTTTTGTTTTTTTTTTTGTTTTTTTTTAGCAGAGATGCTAAAAGTGCTTGCTAAAATAAATAAAAACAAAGATTAAATATTTATTTTGGATCAGTTCAATTCAAACGTGTAAAAAATGAAAACTGCAATGACTCTGTATAGATGCATCCATCCATTATCTTCTGCTTATTTCAAAGTTGGGTCTCGGGGTCAGCAGATTGAGCAGGGAGGCCCAGACATCTCTTTCCACAGCCACCTCTTCCAGCTCTTCTGGGAGGACTCCAAGGCGTTCCCAGGCCAAATTAGATACTTTATAGTTTCTCCAGCGTGCCCTGGGAATTCCCCGGGGTCTCCTCCCAGTCAGACTTGCCCGAAGCACCTGGAGGCGTCCAGGGAGCATCTTTACCAAAAGCCCGAACCACCTCAACTGGCTCCTCTCTATGTGCGGTTCTCCTCTTGAGTCTCTCCCGAATAACTGAGCTTCTCACTCTATCTCTAAGGGATATGGTTGTGGCTTGTATCTTTTTTTCCATGTGATTCATGATGCTTATAAAGTGCTTGTTCTCCATCGTCCTTTTCCCTGACATCTAAAACTTTAGCAAAACACTCTGCCACCTCCTCCTCTGTCAGATCCAGAACTTGAACACTACCACACCCAAAGGGCTAAATCAAAGATAAATAACTGATTGTATTTACCAGTTTTTTGTAGACGTGACCAATGACCTTTAACCTTCTGCTCTGACCCTAAATTTAAGCCAGGATTCCGTTGCCCAAACCTAACACTCTGACCCTTAACCTAACTTAGATTGCTACATCTAACCCAGAGCCCTGACCCTAAACCTAACTCGAGACCCCTTTTCCTAAACCTAACCTTCTGACCGCTGACCCTAAACCTAACCCAACACTTAACCTGCAGGTGAGTCAGCTCAGTGATGGATGGCACACAAATTCAAGAACCACCAGATGATTATGTAAATATTACAATAATTTTAGCAAGTAGGTGGAAGAGGTAAAACCTTGAACTCACCTTATAAACCTGCCATTCTCTTCCTCTGTCTAAGAGACCAGTGGAATATTGAAATAATCTCAGAAATATCTGTAGTAGATTTTTTTTTAAATAAAAAAACAATTTAAACTTAATCTTCATCTTCACAATATTCTAATATTGTGTGAGTAGTACTGCAGCTGAAGAGGTGACTACTATTATTTGGTTTAAAAATGATGTAAACCTGAAAAAATAAATCTACTTTTGGACACTAAACATATTTATTACCATATTCACTGTGTGGATATTTAAATGTTGGCTCAAACTACTTGAAAACCGTATTTAGGAAAAAAAATAGTGTTGCAGTTTCTTTTAAAATAATAATACTTTAAATACATGAAAGGCTCATTCAGTAATACACTACATTGTGTGAGCTATCAAAACTGGCTACGTAATAATAACTAAAAGCTTTGTGAGATGAGACTAACCTGTATAAATAAAGGCTGAATTAATGTACTGTACAGAAATTCCCCAAATTCCAAAGCAAACACGACGAATTTCCGACCTGACCACTAGAGGTCAGTAAAACAGCAATTTTGATTAACAAACAGTAACACGCTTATAAGTGTCATTTTCTGTATTTAATGATAAATATGTATACAGAATAGCGAAATATATTACGTGTAAATTATCTATCTCTGAAGTAATGGAGAAGCCATATATTCAAATATGTTTAGTGGCTTCTTGCTGGTTTTCACTAACATCCAAAATCTTTTAAAATGCATAAATCATTTTCCGGTAAGTTATGTTCAAAATAAAACGCATTACGCGGACAAAAGTGAGAAAATAAGCAGTGGGCAGAATTGGGAGGCCCTGTATGAAATAAATGTGAAAACAACTTCATTTAGCTAATACTGAGGTTTATATAGCAAGTGTGAAAAAAGATAAAACAACGAATAATACTTTCTAGGGTGGATTTTATTTTGAAATGTCGTCGCCGTGTAGAAATGTATCAAACTTTCCAGCTTGTTCCGCTGACGTATTTCCGGTTACACGGGTTTGGTAAGCGGTCCAACCGCTTAAAACCAAAACTACAGTATTTCGTTTTTTTTTTTTTTTCTTCTCTCCTTTTCTTTTCTCTGTTTTTACAGTTTTAGTGTCATTCACTAAAAGCTTACGGGTTTTCACTCTCAGTGAACTAACAATGACGACTGTTTAACCGCAGGAGTCGGGAGAAACACTCGTTTAAGAAAGAAAGTTGCTTAAAACTGAACCGTCTGATGATTTCACTCTCACTGACTGACAGGTGAGGAGCAGAAACGTAATTATGTGTCTTATTGATTGGTCTAATGTTTATACATGGTTTCTCACGGCTTATCCAGCATCTTTAACTCCGGTTCTTATCTCCAAAGCCCTCAGCTGACAGTCAGCCGTCTTGACTCTACAGCCATGATTAGCTAACAAGCTAACTACAAACAACTACAGCTAGCGTAAATCTTGTTTTGTCGTTTTCTTTATCAGGGAATTAACTTTTTTACTTGCATTTATTTCCTTTAGTAAATACTGCAAAACGTATTAAAAACAAGTTCACTCATTTATACAAGTTTTATCCAGGTTTTCAAATGTATCCAAAACTATTTATACCTTTCCTAACTTACTCTTGCTTTGACCAAAATAATGATCTTAATCGTGTGGTGGTGAAACATCTGGAAGCCTTACAGTTTTAAAGGGTAGAGAGTAAGTAACCCTAAATTTTAATGCTTTTTTTAATATGGGAACAGGAGCCAAAACCACATCAGATTAATCCTGTGGTTCAGGACCTTAAACTACTTTTCAGTATTTGATGGGTAGACTTGAGAACAATCATTAGTAAAATGATCTGCTCTATTCACTAAAACTATAAAGTGCAAAATATGATAGAAAAACAGTTTTGTCCTTCTTGGGGGACACCAATAAACCATGACATTGTACTTGTAAACTGTGTTTTGTCAGTGTTACAAAATTATGCTTGTTTAGTAAAACTTTGTTCCTTTTTCAAGTAATGTGTAAAAAGTTCTGTATGACTTACAGCCGAGTGACCTTGTGACTGAAAAGCTGCATATTAAACATATGATCATTGATATTCAGTCATAGCCATGTATATTCTGTGAAAGGTAGGAGTAGTGGTTTTAAAAAGGTATGTCAACATGTAGAGAGGCTCTGAACTGAACTATTAAACTGACTAATAATACAAACTCCAGCATAAAGTGTCATTTTTTTACACGTTACTATATCTAATATTTGATTTTGTTAGAGACACAGTCAAGTTGATGTAAAGTTAGAAAATTCTCAGTTACTGACGTGTGTTTTTGTAGTTGACAGAGGGAGAGCTTTAAAATGTCAACAGACAAACAAAGAGGAATCAGAGTTTCTCAGGAAGAGCTGCTTTGCAAGAACGCCTGTGGATATTATGGAAACCCTGCATGGAAAGGCTTTTGCTCAAAGTGCTGGAGAGAAAAATCACGGCCGCCTGGAGCCTCAAGACAAGACGCGAGGTAAACTTTATGAAGCCAGCAGTGTAACTTTTGGACAAAGACCAAGAAGAAGCATTTTATCTGTGTTATTTAATCATCAGCTTACTGCTACCCCTTTTAGGCCCAGCAGTGACGGAGCACCACCCACATTTTCCAAATTTGAGGAGAAAAAAAATATTGAGAAAGGTAGCCGATATAACACGGTGAGGAGACTGTTCTGGGGCAGCTCGTCGCCTCCAAAACCTCAAGGTAGGTCTGACAACTTTGTGTATTCTGTCGTTGTGTCTTCTGTCCCACGATCACTTGATTTCCCAGATTTATCTGAAACATTGTCCATTGTTTGTTCTTTCAGAGTCCTCAGAAAGCCATGCACACATGTTAAAAGCTTATCAGGGTCTTGAGCCTGGAGACTTCCCTGGCTTTTTAAAGATCCTGCGGAGTCCACCATCCCAGCGCTTGCAGTCACGTTGTACTGCTTTCCTCAACACAATGGAAGCTTACCATGTAATTACTGTATAAATGTTAAGTTTTCACACTTCAAGCCTCTGTCTGATGTCAAAACCTGATTTATCTTTGCAGGATCTGCCGATACAGAAACAATCGGACCTTGTGCAGGATTTCTACCAATCTTTTGCTGAATATTTTAGAAGTGAGTGCAGATCAGTTCATTGCATCTTTGTTTTCTTGTTCATGAAGAAACGATGCTTGAGTTGTTTTCATTTTCAGGTTTTCCTGAGGCTCATGTCACTCAGATCATGGAGCACGTAGAAAAGCTGATAATGACACGGCTGCACAAATGGGTTTTCTGCCACGACAGCTGCGACGATGAACAGAAGGACTTGGCTCTTCAGCGGCGAATACGGTAACACTTCTTGCATGTTAGCAACTCTAATGTAATTTATGAGCTTATAAACTGTAGCTCTAAAGTCATGTTTGTCTCTGATGTTTTTCCTTTCAGTTCCTTAAATTGGGTCACTCCACAGATGCTGAGCGTTCCTTTTCCAGAGGAAAACATTCCAGTCACAGGCGACCCTTTCCTGCCTGCTATAACAGGTGAGTTACAACTTGATTGATTGCTTAATTTTTCTTATTCTTGAGGAATTGAAAATGATCATTATCAGGCACAGTTTGTGACATGGACAGATCCAGGCCAGTTCTTTCATTTCTGATGCATGCTCAATAAGCCAGGTAGATAAATCTAGCAAGGATGAGTCAGTTCCTCTGGACAGATTCTTCTCACACTCATTAGAAACATCTTAAAATGATCTGAAATATATTATTTGTGGTTTGTATTTTAAATATATATATATTTATTTTTATTTTAATCCAGCTATAATAGAAATGGATGCCAAACGTGCACCGCAGGATAAGCTTGCTTGCGTGTCCAAATGCAGTCAGCACATCTTTGAAGCTCTTGCAGTCCTCAACAATGAACCTGCTAATGCAGATGCCTTCCTGTCGAGCCTGGTTTATGTGGTCCTGAAGGCCAATCCACCTCGTCTTCACTCCAACATGCAGTACATGATTCGTTTTGGACTGCCACACAGTCTGATGGCTGGAGAGAGTGGCTACTACTTCACAAACTTAGTGAGTTATGAACAGTCACCCATTCGTCATACTTCGCAGGGTTATATGAAAGTAAGTAACTTGTTCTTGTGTCCTTCACTCGTTCCTTTAGTCTTGTGCTGTGGCCTTCATTGAAAAGCTTAACGGACCAGCACTGAGCCTCAGTCCAGAAGAGTTTGAGGGCTACATGCGAGGTCAGCGTGCTCCTGCTGTATTAACCAAGAGGCAGCAGCTTGTTGAGGAAACGCAGCACCTTTTGGAGGAACTGCAAGGAAGGCAAGAGAAGCTGCACCAAGGAGTAGACGCTCTCAGTGTCGAGCTACAAAAGTGGGTTCAAGCAGTTAATTCACAACTGGATGAAGCAACAACCCAGTTCACTGAAGTACAAAAAGACATAACAGTACAGGCTGAAGAGCCTTCAGCTCAGTGAGGGTATGACGTCTAATGGTCAACATGTAGTTCCAAATGATACGGGTTGCTCTGTTATCAGAACATCCTAATGTGGTACTTAGTGCATATGTAGGCTGCAGGAAGAATCAGATTTGTGCTCCAGGGATATTTTTGCACACGTTTCAACCCCAGACAAAATGTGATTTAAATGCCAGATGAAGGTGAAGGAAAAGTTGCTGAAGAAAGCTTTTTGGCAAGTTGTATGAAGTATTTTAAAAACGTAATTTAAAATAAGTTTCACTTGTTATATACTTTGATACAGACTATTAACACACGTTCCAGTTCAGAAACAGTTGTGATAAAACAATATTCAGCACTCAGGGAACCTGGCACTTTGTGATATCAGCCAACAGTTTAAGTGTGCCTATATTTTCCCTAATGGTATAAACCTCCGTGTCCATCTAGTGACTGCTGTGGAAAAAGGAAAAAAAAATAAAAAACACGAAGGTGAAAATGTATTGTAGCTGTTTTTGACCACTACAGGTTCTGGGATGGGGGTGTGAAAAACATGTTTGTTGGAGCTGTGTTGCCTTTACTGGCTAGTGCAATACAACACATTTCCATCAGGGTCCATGTAATAAAAAGCTGTTTACAACTGTTAACAAATTAATCAAGAAAATTTAAATGTTCTATATTTTGTTCAATGAGTGTATGTAATAATATATTAAAGCTGGCTTATTTAATTTAAAATGATGTATTGCTTTTTGCCTTGTTTGTATTTTATAGCAGACCTGTTTTAGGAATGGGAATGTCACAGTTAAAACAAAAAGATAGTTATATTAATAAATTGGTGCGTGCAAATAATTTGTCAGTTTTCTGACATGCTTTCTGTGCCTGAGTCCACAATAAAAAGAAAAGTTTAGTTGGTCAGAAACAAAAAGCATGAAACATTTCCAGTTCCTGTTTGTGATTTACATAAACTAACATTCTTACAAATATAGCATTACACTTCTGTTACCACAAATCTGATTTTTTTTTTACATGAACCAGATCAAATGTTCTTAAACTTTAATTCTCCACATTAAAATACCTAAAAAATTGATTCTTGCTTAAACAAATTGTTGCATAATCCATCTTTTTGTAATAAAATCTTTTTTTTCAGAAATATTTAGTAGATGCCTCTTCACAATTTCACAAAATGCACTAGAAAAATATGATGTAATTTCAAGAATATGTAAATGCTGTTTGGCTAAAGTGTCATGTAATTGCCACATTTCCAATATTTATAGAGAATCAAACAAGTCTAGAAATTCATAGATTTACTTGAATTAAAATAAAGTCTTAGAATAAAATGTTGGGCTCTATTTAGACACGGTGTTTTGGTGTTAACATTTTAGAAACATTTTTAAGCTGCAGGATATTTCTTGTGACCTGTATGTTTTATTTTTTGTGTTGTACAGTATCAGAGAGTCAGAGTCAGAGTTTCTTTATTGTCATTCGCACCTCATGTGGTACATGTGGTGGAGCGAAATTATGTACACGGGGTCCCAGTTACATCCAACAATAAAATGTCTAAGAAAAACAGTAATAAGATCTAAGATATGAACTAAGAAAAACATCAACTAAATATACACTAAGCACTCATAACGTAAAACATTGAACATCAGCACAAACATGAACATGAGTCTGTGAGCAGATGTGCACGCATGAACACATCAACATTGAAACAGATCAGCAGCAACATGAAACAGATCAGCAGCAACATGATATGGTTTTTCACAGTGATTATTCTAGTTAGAGATTCATGAGTCTAACAGCCTCAGGGTAGAAGCTGTTCCTCAGTCTAGTGGTTCTACACTTAATGCTCCTTAACCTCCTTCCTGAGGGGAGTGGGGCAAAAAGTGTGTGTGCTGGGTGGGTGGGGTCCTTCATGATGCAGGTGGCCCTCTTCCTGCATCTGGAGGTGTAGATGTCTGTGATGGTGGGGAGACTGATTCCAACAGATTTCTGTGCAGCCTTCACCACTCTCTGCAAAGCTTTTCTTTCTGCAGCTGTGCAGCCTCCATGCCACACATTGATGCTCGAGCACAGGATGCTCTCCACTGCACACCTGTAGAAGGAGGTGAGGACTGAGCTTCCCAGACCAGCTCGCCTCAGCCGTCTGAGGAAGTAGAGTCTCTGATGAGCTTTCTTGATCAGGCTGGTGGTGTTGTTGCTCCAGCAGAGGTTGTCATTCATGTGTACACCCAAGTACTTGTAGCTGGAGACCACTTCCACCGCAGATCCTCTTATGTTCAGGGGGGTGTAGGTGTTTTTGTTCCTTCTGAAGTCCACAATCATCTCCTTAGTCTTCTTCACATTGATGTGAAGGTTATTCTCTCTGCACCAGCTCTCCAAGTGTTCCAGTATAATGTTAAAGTAGAAGTAGAGTAGGTCCTCTGCTTTTCTCCCTTTACCTGCTTCCATTGGGATCAATCCTTAGAAAGCATGGGATCTTTTTTCATTGTTACGCTGACGACAGTCAGATCTATATGCCACTTAAAAAGAAAGATGCCCCCTCAATTAGGCCACTTCTGTTGTGTCTTGAAGACATCAAAGCCTGGATGTCTTTAAACTTCTTAAATTTCAATGAAAAGAAAACAGAAGTGATGGTGTTTGGTCCTAGTGGCTCTTGTGAACCTTGCCCTGTTGATCTGGGCCCTCTGGCACCACATGTAAAGAAAACTATTTCTAACTTGGGTTTTAAAATGGACAGTGATTTTAAATTAGAGTCCCAGATTGGAGCGGTGGTCAAGACCAGTTTTTATCACCTCAGACAGCTGGCTAAGGTAAAGACCATCCTTACAAAACAGCAGCTGGAAACAGTAATCCATGCCTTCGTCACCTCTCGGCTGGATTACTGTAACGCTCTTTACCTTGGAGTCAGCCAGTCCTCCCTCAGACGCCTCCAGTTGGTCCAGAACGCTGCTGCTCGGCTTCTAACTGGAGTTCAAAAAAGGGAGCACATCACCCCCACTCTGGCTTCACTCCACTGGCTGCCTGTTCATTTTAGAGTTCATTTTAAGATTCTTTTATTTGTTTTTAAAAGTTTAAACGGTCTTGCTCCATCCTACCTCTCTGAGCTGCTTCACCCATACTCTCCTGCTTGGTGCCTCAGATCAGCTGATCAGCTACTCCTGGAGGTGCCGAGGTCTAAGCGGAGGCTCAGAGGGGACAGAGCTTTTTCTGTTGCTGCTCCAAGACTGTGGAACGATCTCCCTCTTCCCATCAGACAAGCCCCTTCACTGTCCAGTTTTAAAACTCTTTTAAAAACACATTTTTACTCCCTGGCTTTTAGCACACACTGAATTTACTCTGCACTGTTTTTATTAATTTTATTGATCTTAATGTTTTAACAGCTGTTTTTATGTGTTTAAATGTTCTTGATTTTATATGTACAGCAATTTGTGGCAGCTGTGGTTGTTTTAAAGGGCTTTATAAATAAAGTATTATTATTATTATTATAGAAAATCTAATTGTGTTACACGGATGGGCTAAGGGAAATCAAAAATCAATTACTAATAAATGTGATTTTAATTATTTGCAAGAAATAAGGACAACAGCACATAAAATAAGTATTACTGGGACTGGATGGTTTGTAACATTTGGCAGTGTCAAGACTTGGCCGCATGAGGGCGCTGCACCGGAAACAGAATCACCGGAAGTGTTGGGGAACCCAGCAGCTGGTCAGCAAACATGAAAACAGAAGAAAATAGGCCCGAAGGCACTGAAGTAACGATGGATGATGTTAAAAATCTTGTTAAGAAGAAAGACGAAATAGAGGAACAAATACAAGCTTATTACGATGTTTTAGAAGACGTAAGTTAGAATCCTGCTGGACACAGGTAGCTCTGTATAGCTAACATGCTAACATGTTTTTGTTTGTTTACAGCAGGGTGTCGGAGTCGAAGGTCCCCTGGTTGACGACGAGGGCTACCCCCGTGCAGATGTCAATTTGTACCAAATCAGAGCAGCAAGGCACAATATTTCATGTAGGAACAATCAGACAACGATTTGTGTGACTGATAATCACAGTTTGTAGATTATTGTTTATCTAACATTAGAAGTGTTTTTGTAAAAAAACAAACTTGGGAACACATTTTAAAGATAATAGCGAATGCACGTTTCTTCTACAATCATTGGAGGAAAAAAAAATATATATGTTAATTTCATTTTGCAACTTAGTCACTTAAACTACTTAAACTAAAACTTTTACAATTTATATTTTTGCTGTTGTTGTATAGGACCCTGTGTACAAAATTTCGTTCCACCTCCTGTGCCACAGGTGATGCGAATGACGATAAAGAACCTTGAACCTTGAAAAAGTTTTAATTTATAGTATGAAACATACAACTCCATCACAACATCATAAATCCATAGATGATTTTGTTCCACACTTTAATACCGTTCACAGAACAATAACATCATTATAGGTTTGATTTCTTCTTATGTTCATTTTCCAGTTATCAGTAGTACATTTATGGAACTTCAGATTTTTTTTTTCATACTTTTATTGTAACATAAAGACTTTGTTGTGTTTCAGGTCTGCAGAATGATCACAAAGCCATCATGGCAGAGATAGAAGAAGCCCTGCACAAGCTGCACGCTCGGGAGAAGGCCAAGCAGGAACAGGATGCTACTGAAGCCCAGGAGGAAGCGATGGAGCAGCAGGTCACCCTACCTCCTCCTTTTGCACGAGTGGATGCTGTGACCGAAGGCTCGCCTGCCTCTGGGGCTGTGAGTCACAGCAACTGGGCTATTATATTTAGTAATTTATCACATGATCAGAATTGTTTGAATTCAGCATTTAAACAATCGTGTTTCTTTTCCTTTGATATTTGGTTGTTTCTTTTCAAAGGGTCTCAGAGTAGGAGATGAAGTCATCGAGTTTGGATCGGTAAACACAGGAAACTTTCAGAACCTCCAGAACATTGCTTCTGTGGTGCAGCACAGTGAAGGGGTAAGTTTACTTTAAGTAAGTTGATTTTAGCTAAAGAAACAGTTTTCTGTGTTTTAAGTAACAATTAATTGCAGATTTACATTTCCTTCAGTTTGCTTTAACTTTCTTTTTGTTTAACAGTCATATATCAATTTTATAAATCTTCAGTTTATTTTATCACAGTGTCTGTTTTTATATGATAAATTTGTACTTGACTTTAATGACAGTATTATTTAGTGTAACATGCAGCGTCATGTTTGGTTTTTAGAAACCATTACGTGTTGGAGTGATCAGGGCTGGCCAAAAAGTTCAGATGAATTTGACTCCACAGAGGTGGTCTGGCAGAGGTCTGCTGGGGTGAGACACACACATACACACACACACACATTTGTGCACGTATGTAGAATTTGCAACAATTTAAAAACCAATGGAAAGAACAACCAAAAAAAAGTTAATCAAATATGCTTGAATTTTTACTTCTCTGTTGATACTGATTAAACATCTCATTGGTGCACATTCTTAATGTAACTAACTTAAAATGCTGCCTTGTTTTTTTTTAAACCATTATCTGTTTTTTTGTTGTTGTTCCCCCAGATGCAACATTGTTCCTGTTCAGCGGTAATCTACAGAACTGTGTTGTATTTATGTACAAGAATCTCATCTTTGACTTATCTTTCCTGAGTGCTTTTACACTGACTTTATAATTATTACTGCAGAAATATTGATGCTTTTTTGTTTCAATTTAAATATTTCCTCCGTTCGAAAGCTGCTCTGAGGACTGAATATGTAAAAGGTGGCACAGACACAGTGAATCCACTGGATGAGAGAAGTGGGACACTGACTGATCCTGGATGTGAAAGAACTCCACCTGTATTATTCCTGCAGTCTGTTCGAAAATGTTTCATCTTGTGTACAATTTATTTTGGGTTGAATAAAGTAGTGAACAAACATCTGTGAGAATATTTGATCTTATAATGGATAAAAGCTTATAGTCAAATCATGATAAAATAGCACTAATAGTGTATTTAAGCAACTCAAAACATATACCATAATGAACTATTACTGCTACTTTTCCAACATTAAATACAATATAGACGTGTGCCGAAAATAAAAGTATGTCAGACTTTTTAACCAGAGAACTTGTAAGTAGCTGATTGTCATTTAGAATGTGTACATTTCTTGTACTTTTTTTAAATTTACTTTACCGTTTAGAAATGTAGGCCATTTTCTAAAGCACCACACATAGGGGACATTTTCTGCAGTTTGTGTATTTTGTAAAGTTAAATCTGTTGGAAACTATAGTCATGGGATTATTGCAAATTTTGTAAGCCATAACCTCACCTAGAGCTAACCACCCCATTGGTATTTAAATAAAAATATTCAAATATTTCATTGGATAAATATTTAATTTGGATCTAAAGGGCAGCAAAAAGAGCATGTCGATATTTTTTATGAAATTTTCTGTAGCCCCATGATTATGTGTAAAACTACCTTTTTCAATTTTATGTTCATTTCAAAAAGTGAAATAATCCAAGCCTTTATTTCTTGTATTTTTGATTATAACTTACAAATAATAAAAAAAACAAAATTCTGTCTCAGAAAATTCAAATATTGTGGAGCTTCAATATTGTAAAGTCATGGTCACACCCTAATCAGCTGATGAACTCCTAAACACGAGCTTCAATTGTCTCATTCCTCAAGTCCATCCACTCCTGAACCAGAGACATCAGAAGAGTCTTACCTGCTGATGAGACGAAGAACTGGACTGTTGCTCAGTGGTCCAATGTCCTCTTTTCAGATTACAGTAAATTTCCATGTCATTTATAAATCAAGATCAGTCTGGAGGAAGAGTGGAGAGGCTCAAAGTCCATGTTGCTTGAAGTCCAGAGTGAAGTTTCCACAGTCAGTGATGGTTTGGGTCCATGTCCTCTGCTGGTGTTGGTCCACTGTGTTTTCTGATGTCCACAGTCAACGCAGCATCTACCAGGACATTTTAGAGACTTCATGCTTCCTTCTGCTGACGAGCTTCACGGAGATGATTTAATTGATTGACAAAAACAATTGAACTTCTTTACAATATTCACATTTTTTCAGATGCACCTGGATAAACAACTGTGTCCACATCCAGTTAGATTCTGATTTAACTTGACAGGATACACACAGTTTACTTCTTTGGACAAACACAGCCTATTCTGTAAAATGCTTCTAGTTTAGCAACAACTAGTTCAGTGAGGGAGAAAGGATGAATCTTGTGAATTTCATATATTAAAGAAAATAAAATGTTAACATTTTGAAAACTTGTTTTTATTATGTAAAATTGTCCCCAACACACACAAAAAAGTTTGTTTAATCTGTTATTTGAAAGATTTTAATCCATGTTTTATAAACTAGCACAATAATTGAAACTTGTCAACAAATACTGAGGCAATATGCCTGAATTTGTTTCATGTATGAAATAAATTACATATAGTCCTTTAAACAAAAGTTCTCAGAAAAAAGAGAGAAGATGGGGGTGTTTATGTAAAATCTGTCATTGCTGAGATGTTGACAGGTCTGTTGCCTCTCAGGCATCAACATTTTACAAATCTGTACAAACAAAGTAGTTTTATCCAAGTGTAACAAAAAAAAAATCCATATCAGATATCACACTGGCAGCTTCATTTTCTTCTTTTTGGGCTTGACCATCTGTGGTAGTTGGATTTTAAATGCAGTCCTAAAAATATAAATATAAATCAAATTAATGCCAACAAAAAAAAACTCAGATGTCACACTGTGTAATGTTGCCTTATCATTACTGTGATCTAAAAACAGATTCTCCTTGATTAACTGACTTTATATTACAGCATACTTACTCGCATGTTGTGCAAATGGGGCTGAAGTTGCAGAAAACTTCGGGGAAAAAGGCAAAAAAAAATGGTCACAAGAAGAACATTTACTCTTAATAAATACAAGAATGGCCGTGACGCATTTTTTTGGTTCGTTTTGTGACTTACTTGACAAACAAACCGAGCACACGTAACCAATTTCGATGAGGTTCCGGTGGCAGAAACAGGCGGCTCTGTAGTCCACGTGAGCAGGTGGCGGCAGCACCAGCTGAGTGCGCTGCTCCGAGTCGGGCAGGAACACCCACTGTTCACACGAAAACAAAACGCACAATCTGCATGCGTAAGCAACCGCATTTTGTTGTGTTGCAAAAATACATCTTTTAAAATGTGCCCAACTCACCAGCAGATACTGTGCCAGGGCTATTTTCTGTGGTATTTTCAGATATACTCCTCCAGTTATATCACAAGCCTAAAAAACAAACACACAGGCACACATGGTGGTATTATTCTCCTGAAAATAAAATGTTGAGAAATAAAGTATGAAACAAATAAGTACCTGCTGAAGGAGTCCTGACTCTGAGTCCAACACACAGGCATCAATCAGGATGTTCTGTTTAAAAATAGTTAAATGAACTGACTAATACACTCATGAAAGAATACTGCTGAACAGAGATTCTTGCTCTTACATGTTTCTGTGCAGCGAAAATCACATTCATGAAGTTCATGTACTGCAGGGCACAGTCCTCAGCTGCTTTTATCACCTGTCGGTGAATCCAGAACATGAGCTCAAAACGCAGGAAAACAACAACAAAAAAAAAACCAGTCATGAACGAAGTCAAAGGCTTACCAGTATCCTCGATTTAACGTCCTGTCCAACTAAAACAACAAAACATACATGTGGGATAAAAATAAGTAACTGCCTCCTTTGATTCTGATATTTGGAAGAAAAAAAAAAGATATTACCTTCCATCTTTTTTGAGACCCTGTTAATATCTGAATATTACAGCGTTTAGGAAAAGTTGCTAAAACAGTACAACCACTGTAGACAAAACGGGAAGTCGCCAAACTAAAATATCTACTACATCTTGACTTCTCAGAAAAGCAGCACATAAATAAATTGTAAATTTAAACCAGAGCTTGGAAATATAAACTCATCAAGCAAACACCGCCGTATTGATAAAACAACAAATACATAAAGTATGACAATCTCCTGTGACATGCATTACTTTTGACTTGTTTATTACAACATGATTTGCAGGTAATACATAAAAAATGACAATTTTGTGACAAGACTTATCTGTATAGTGTGTATATAACTTGAGCCACTAATAACTACTGAAAAAAAAGTACAAGCGTTCTTACTCATCTATTTTCAAAAAATATATATACTGAATTATAAATATAAAAGTGCTTCTCATTCAAAGGATACAGCAGAGGGCTTTAGCAAGGGATCCCGCCAGCAGAGTATCAGTTGAGTTTCCTGTCACTTCAGCTGTAAGAACACAAGACAGATGTCAAGAAATCATTAATACTAAGTCTCAATAAATACCTGAAAATAAAACTACAAATTCAATGCAAACATAAATATTTTTTCTGGCAGAAAGCTGAGGAAGCAGCACTTATATGAATATTCGTCTACATTTATACTAGACTTACTTTTGGTCATAAGGTTCTTGATCTCTTCCGTAATAATGTTGTTGGCGACAGACAGGAGTTCATATTTTCCATCCTTGCTGGAGGATGCGTCGTCGCCACCGTCCCCATGTTTCAAACTCTTAGTGGGATACAGGAAGTGACTGAGCAGAAGAGACACCACCATGAGCAAAGACAGGAACAAAATGTAGACACTTTCTGGGAGCTACAACTAAATACATTAAATCAAATGCAGAATCAAAACTTAAAAAACATTATGCTAGATAAGTTAGATCCTACATTTGAAATATTACTTTGAAGAAAAATCTTTGGAGCAAATATTACTTCAAAGTACAGGAACAGCCTCTGCAGAATGAATTCCATGAGATATACATGATTGATTAAGCACATGAAGTATGTAATGTGACATATACAAACTTAACTGAACCTTTAATCTTTACGCTTTGATGGATGTATGAATGGATGAAAAACAATACAACAATGTTTTAAATTAAACTACTTAATGTATGAATAGCAAAGAAAATCAAAAAGATGCATTCATACAAAAACTGAGAGCAAAAAAAAAAGCAATTTTAACTTTATAAACTGAGTAATTGGTCTTGATAAAATACATATAATAATGCATAATTTCTGTAAGCCTGAGTGAAACATAATGTAACTATTTCATGTGTTAATGTATACAAAGAACAGTTAACTAGATGTATTGTTCATGACATGAAACTGCTGTGTAGAGTTACCTGTCCTGACAGTGACTAGCGATGACAGCCAGCTTGTTCGTCCTGTTCATGGCTGTGTGAGCATTTCCCATCACCATGACTGCATCCATGCACTTAGACAAAGTGAACTTGACACGGAAAAGACAAAAGATAGTCTTTAATTATCTTATTACATGTAAATAATATTACAAAACTTTTAAGGTGTTTTTCTTTGTGTTGTTTTATTTACCCAGTTAAGTTCACTGCTGTATATTGTCCAATTAGTTTGCTCCATTTAGTACAATAAAAGAATCAGTAATAATAAACAGTAATGGTGAAGTTCTTCTAGTTTAAGATATTTTTATAACTACTTATCCCTGAAATGCAAATATCTGTTCTGATTTTATCAAATGGCCATTTACATAAAATAAGTCAATTTTAAAAATGATATCAGTGTTTACTCAGTTACAAAAAAGTGTAACTTTTGTAATGTTCCATCTGGAAACTTAGCTCATATCATTTCACATTTCAATGGACAAAATCCTAATTATTTTAGTGCCAGTAAAAATAGCTGCTTATCTTTTACATTAGTTTCAGGTGATTTATTTATTTATTTCTGCAAAGACTGCACAGTCGACAAAGTAACTGAGTATTAAAAATAATACCTCTGGCTCACGTTGAGCTTGTTGACCCCACCATATAGGGTTCACATCCACAACGATAACCAGGAGATTAATTTCCTCCTCTGTAAAAAATAATAATAATTAAAAAACACTGGAACGCAGTATAGAACTCCAAAACAATTTTAGACGTGAAGCATGCAAAACAATAACTATTTGAGCTAAACTAAACACAGAACATACCTGATGCCATCACAAGAAGTCTGAAACGAATAAACCAACAAATGTTCCGGTTTTAACTGATGATAAAATCCATTTCTGATCAACAACAGACCATTATATTCACTGAGCTGACAGTGTTTTGGAATTAGAACACGCTTACAATATATAATCGATTTAAAGTTACTGTATTTAAAGACATAAGACCAACACACGGCTAAACGGTTTATGCGTCGCTTATTGATGACGTCACTTCTATGTTTAATGGGTTTTTAAAAAATCTTTATTGAAAAAGTATAAAACAATACAATAAAATGCAGTATACAGTAATTATATAACAGCCGCCAGGGGGTTACAAACACTGAGATAATAATTTACAATAACATATTACATAAATATATTCAAGAGAGCACATAAGATGCAAGTTTTTATGGCCTTCGTGTTGGTGGAATATTTAATAGTTTTGATGTATTGTTTGACCTCATTTTCAAAAATGGAGACAAGAGGTTTTTTGATTAGTGTATCTACATTTATGAATATGCCATTTGGCTAGGTATATAATAAGATTAATAATATAGAACTGTTTTTCTTTAGTTGTTGGGATAGTCAGTGAAACCAAACAAAACATGTTCAAAGCAAAGTCAGAGATCTGGTTCTATAAAAGTAGTACAACCATTTTCAGCGAGTTTAATGAAGTTAAACCAACAATTAAGCCTGTCTTGATCCTGTCTTATCTACAGCTGGAGCCTGAGGCCATTAGAGATTCACAAATTTGCAAGAAAGAGAGACATCTGTGGTGAAAAGGAAAACCATGCTAGTTTCTCGGCTAACAACAGCATGATAGATGAAACCATGCATCCACTAAATGAAGAGGAATTCCCACCACTGCCGGTCACCCTCAGTAAGCCCCCTCCCCCTAAGAAACCTGTTCTGTTTAGACTCCATGACACAGAAAATGCACATATCCCAGACAATGCTGTTTGCACACTAGCTGATTTGATCAACTCAAGAAGTGATGCGCTTGAGAGAATGGTGGATGACATTTGCACTGATTTAAAATTAATGAATGAAAAAATGTCTCATGGAAAAGCAGGTGGAGAAAAATGGGAATTCAGCTCTAAAATGCTGACCTGGAAAACTATGGAAGACGGTGGAATCTGTGGTTGCAGGGGTTACCAGAAGCTGAAAGGGAAGACGTACGAGCTAAAGTCATTAATATTCAACCTCTATTTATACAGGTTAATCCCATTGAGCCTTGGGGACTCATTTACAAGAGAAACCTGAAATATGTCAGCAAATACTACCATCTGAGAGAGAGAAACTTCCTGACGCCTTCTGGCCTATCATACAAGAAGAAGTCGTACTGACAACCCAAAGCCCTACGGCGTCATCATCATCATCAGGTTCATCTCCCGGCGTTGCAAGGAGGAGCTGTGGAAAGCAGCGAAGAACAGTGCTCTTCTGCAGTCGAAGGGTCTGCGCTTCAAAGAAGACCAATAGAAGAAAGAGATAACAGACAAAAACTTTGGCTCAAGGTTAAAAGAGCACGAGACGAGAGGAAGACGGCCTACTTCATGGGAGGAAGAGTCTTCATTAGTGGCTCAGAACTACGTCTTTAGATGGAGAGAACGATTTTACTCTAAAGAAGAAGAGCAACAGGACTTGGCTCTAAATGCTGTCAGTTTCATTCTGTTCTCAGTTTTGTTCACTCCTGTTTGAATTTAATAGTTAACACATTCTGTCAGAATAATATTTTTTTTATATGTGTTTATAATCCTCTAATTTAATATGAGAAAAAAATAGGGAGCTTAATGTTTAAGGGCAAAATGATAAGAGGTTCGTTTTACATTCATGCCTAATCATTCTGCACGGGGCTTATAACATGTTGGTGCTGATCTCAACGTTGCACAGTTAATGTACTCAAGGTTTGCTTAAAGTACTATTTGTTTACTTTGTTCAAATCTGTTGAATTGATCCTTTTTATATTTAAATGTTAGGTGTTTGCGAAACAATATTAAGTGCAAAGCTTTATTCCATTTTGCCAAACAATTCAAAATAGATTTTGTCTTTACAAGAATCCCACTGGTGTCAAACAATGCCAGCTTTTGGAAATCTCAATGGAGCAACTCTGTGTGGCTCTCACATGGCACTGAACGTTCAGCTGGGGTCACTACATTAAAGAACAGGTTTAGTCGGGAGGTTCTGTGTACCGAGTGTGACCCTAATGGTCACTTTATCTGCCAAACTATTAAACATAATGACAGAGTCTACATAACATGTAACGTATATGGATTCAACAGAAAATAGGAAAACAATATTCTTATTATGTCGATAGAGGATATACTACACTGGCTGTCTAAATTCCCAAACTCAAAAAAGGTTAAATCATTTCATCTGGATCAGTTTAATATCTCCATGGATAAATGGCCTCGGGGCTGATTGAATAGAACAAACACAAGTCTTAGTGCATTCATGAATAAATTTAACCTTGAAGATATCAAGGTCAAGTTTCTTAATTGTCATTTGCATCACATGAGGTGGAACAAAATTGTGTACACAGTGTCCCAGTTACATCCCAACAATAGCAAAAATATAAAGTGTAAATAGAAACTAAATAAAGATCTAAGATATGAACTAATGCTAAACAAACACCAAATGGTACGCTAAAAGATCGAAGATATACACTAGTCACTAATAATGCAAAACAATACACCGAACAACAGCAGCACGAACATGAGTCATTATGGGTGGATGAGTACGAATGAATGAATACAGCAGCATGAAATAATCAGCAGCATGGATAATCAGCAGCACATATCAATAATCAAAGTTGCATTACAGTTTTTTGTTTTTTTTCACTGTGATAATCCAGATTAAATATTCATGAGTCTAGCAGCTTCAGGGTAGAAGCTGTTCCTCAATCTAGTGGTTCTAATGCGCCGCAACCTCCTGCCTGAGGGGAGCGGGGCAAAAAGTGTGTGTGCTGGGTGAGTGGGGTCCTTCATGATGCAGGTGGCCCTCTTCCTGCATCTGGAGGTGTAGATGTCTGTGATGGTGGGGAGACTGACTCCAACAGTCTTCTGTGCAGCCTTCACCACTCTCTGCAAAGCTTTTCTTTCTGCAGCTGTGCAGCCTCCATGCCACACATTGATGCTGGAGCACAGGATGCTCTCCACTGCACACCTGGAGAAGGAGGTGAGGACTGAGCTTCCCAGACCAGCTAGTCTCAGCCGCCTGAGGAAATAGAGTCTCTGATGTGCCTTCTTGATCTTGAGCTCTTGATCTTGAAGATATATGGCAAGCAAAATATCCTAATAACAAGATATTTACATGGAGCAATAAAACAAGGTCAAGAGTTGATTTCCAAGGGTTTTAAAGAAAATGACATGGAGAACATCCCACTCCTCTTACAGATCTATAAGGCTATTACAGTATCAATACAATACTATCTACTCCTCAATTACACAGTCAGTATATTGGAAACTTAACAGTTCTACACTTACAAATGAGGAAGTAAAAAGAGGTGATGCACTTAATTTCACACTATAGGTCAAAAGCTGAAAAAGGGACAATTTGGTGTCAATTGGGAACTTCTGAAGTTTGAGCTTGGTGCATTTTTTTAAAGAAAATTTAGTAGCGATTTAGTAAAATCGAGGAAACTGGTAGAACTAAATATGGTGTCAAGGATAACTTCTTTATCTTGTAAAACCCCAGATACACTATCAGAGGAAGGAAAGCTAGAACTCACAAATTTGCAGATTAAATTAGATGAACTGTACAATCAGAAAGCCAGAGGTGCTTTTGTCAGATCCAGAGCAAGATGGCTAAATGAAGGAGGACAAAATTCTCATTTTTAACTTGGAAAAGCATCATGCCAATATTAATAATGTCACTAAACTGAATGTGAATGCAACACTAACAAATGATTTTAAAATAATATCTGGACACTACAGTCGATTCTTTGCAGAGCTACATTTGAAACCAGAAGTTTACATACACTAAGTTTGTTTTCTCAGTCATCCAGGTATATAACAACAAAAAAGGTTGAATCATGTCATCTGGACTTCGTTTTTTT